TTCAATCATCATCTTGTTATCAATTCAATCAAACATCAACTTGATTTTGTAACAAATTTCCATCAGTAAAGTCAAAAAGTATCAATTGATCAGAAGAGAAAACAAAAAAATTCAATGATTTAATCAAGCCTTCATTATCATCATTTTCAATCCCAATTCCTTTAATCAAATCAAATCCATTGGTAGTAGTACATTCACTGTGTAAACCAATCAAGGATTTCTTTCTGTTTCTTTGATTTACATTAACTTGTAGTTCTTGAAGTTGTGATTTGTTGTAAGGAACTTTGATATTTAAGATTTGCTGATTTATTTATACTACGAACTCGGTGAGTAACAGTAGGTAATTTGGATTTTCTATTGATGGATGGATGTATTTAAAAATCATTTGATTGATTTTCAAGTGTTGACGTAAAAACTCCTTTTACATGACCATTACCAAACAGTCAAACGGTGGTCAAGTGGTCAACGATGATCATTTGGATCTTTTGTTGACCTTTTTGGTTGACTGTTCGGTAAACAAAAAAGCCAAAATTCAGCTTTTTGTTTTGCCCCTTGAAAATGGGGCAAAATGAAAAGTTGTTTTTGTGTAACAATTTTTGGGAAAAACAGCCGAACGGGCCCTTATTGCTCATCCAAGATGGAAATGAGCCTTATCAAGAAATGTCAAGCAAAATGTGAGCAAAGCAGGCTGATCACCTGAACACAACCAAAATTGTGAATTGAATGGATCTGAAAGAAAATGAATCTTTTTGGAGACTTCAAAAAAGTCTACAACGCTCACATACATGTGAGAATAAATTTTGGCCCCTGTGTATGGCTCAGGTGTGGAGTGATAGATAATTTTATGACAAATCATACTCCCAATCATTTTTTCCTGCCCACTTGGAGAAGTTGAATAATGTTTGCAGTGAAACAATGAGTCAGTGAAATCAACCACCTTGAAATCTTACGTGGCAGGGATCAAAGTGTGGCATAGATTCCACAGGAAGACCTACCCGCATAATGTGGACACCTTGGTGAATCTGCTCTTGAGAGCCTTGTTACAAGTCAAGCTCAACCATCATCTTTCCAGGAAACTCTGCCCTCAGGTACTTGTCTCAGACTTGATGGCCTTGGTGAACGTACTATCAACGCATGAAGAGAGAGACCTGGTGGTTTTAGCCATTGCACTAGTTGCATTGTGGGGGACTGCAAGGTTGGGAGAGTTGGTGACAGATGATGCTAAGAAGCAGGTCCCACAATGGAAAGACGTGTGGTGGGCAGAAGATTACGTGTATGCGACAATTGATATTCATGAAGCTAAGACAACTAATTTGGGGGAAATCCAAAAGATCCAGCTTAGGCGCCAGAATTCCATGCTATATCCAATATGGGTGCTGAATTTGCTTTACAATTTTGACCAA